TAAGTCTTTGTATACTCCGTGGTGGGATTTGCTGTGAACAACTGAGGAGCTCCTGATTGTAAATGTTATCCTCCTGGGGTATTTCTGTTGGGTGTGGCACAGCAATGTTCTGGGAAGTTTGCTCCCTCTCAGGTGCTTAGAATTCTGACGTTATGCTTGGTTAGTTTGGCCACTCTACCAGACTCAAAAGGAGGCCTCCTAGAGGCAGAAGAGGTCTCTCTGACTGCTGGCTGAGGTCCTTGCTGCTGAGAGAAACATGCTCCTGAGAGACATGCGCTGCTGGGAAAGAGACACAAGAGACACACATTGCTGAGAGTGACACTGAGAGACACGCACTGCTGGGAGAGAGACAGTTGGCTCAGAGATGGCGGACTGAGAGAGACTGAGCATTGTTCCTGAACTTGAATTGTAGCCTGGTGCTTCCCTATTCAACCCCATAATCTCTGAGTTGTGTGTGGCCACTGCAGCGAATTATCAAACCCAGCAGAAAGTTGGTGGGTGCTGCGGGAGAACGGTTGGTGTCAGGGTTGATGAAAGGGCTGGAGGGAGGCAGCATGTCTGGCCTCGCAGGTATAGGCCTTGGGCTATTGATGGTGATTCTGTCTTCCTCTTGTGGGGTTAGAGGAGGTCAGAAGATGTGGCCTCCTTGCCCCTTTGGCAAGTGGTCAAGGCATTTGGCTGCTAACCAAAAGGGCAGTGGTTCAAACCCATGAGCTGTTCTGTGAAAGATGAGGTTGTCTGCTTCTATAAAAGTTTACAGCCTTGGAAACCCATTAGGGGCTGCTGAGTTGGAATCGACTTGATGGCAGTGAGTTTTGTTTTTTGGTTGATATTAACTACTCTGCTTTCAGTATTCTCTGAGATTGTGAAAGATAGGGTGATCACATGTTTCAAAGTGGGATCTTTAGTTGTTTGCAGGGAAAAACAGGTGAATAGGTAAAGTTAGGGCTCAGAAAAAAAGTTAAAAAGAATGGTAGTAATGCGTTCCTGCCATTTTATATCAGATACTTACAAGTCAGGAAAGATCATAGTTGCTGTAGTGGCTGATGAGGCATGGCCATTCTGCTAGTTATTAGCATTCTTACCTAAACAAAAGTGATAAACAATTGGCTTGGACCAGAGGGAAGGTACCTTATTATTTAAAATACAGCTCTGTCTGTAACTTTGGCCCAGGCCCAGCTTCAAGTGCAGCTGTGTTGGCTGTGGGTGGTTGGTAAGTGGTGCACAGAATAATAGTCTTGCTCTAAGAAGAATGTGTAAAAAGCAGTTTCAGGGGCTGGACTGTTCCTAGCTCATCTATAAAGATGACAGGCTTGCCAGTTGCATTTCAGCTATTTTCTTTAGCCTGTGGAACAAATGATTGTTGTACAATTGTTTTGGCCAAACCTACACATTGTAGCTGAGACATTTAAGTAGTGGAACCAACTAAAACACAACACACAAGCTGAGAAATTACAGCCTCGTTCTGTACCTTGTCTAGTACTGCTGAACTCCCAGGAGCAGTGTCCATAAACTGGCCCGGTTTAGTTTAAACCTTCCTCTCAGCAACAATGGACTCATTCTATGTGGTAATAATCACACGGCCAGTTCATCCTTCTGATTTTCTAGAAATGGCTCCTTTTTATGTTCTCTTCCCTAGAACAAGGAAACTCCTAAATTTTGGAGTTTGGGGTGACTCATCAGTCATGCAATGGTGAGGGTAGTTCTGGCTAAATCGTTCTTCCTCCACTTCAGCCAGGAAATCCCACTGGGCGTGGTTTGGGGGTGGATGTGTGGAGGATGTTGATCTATCTAGCAGATGAATAATAGCTTGTTTATAGACACAATAGAAAGTAGGGTCTTTGGGGAGGCAGCAAACTTGTTTATAAATCCATCTTTACAGCAAAAATAACTTTCTTTGTTAAACAGATTCATGGATGCTCAGTGAAAGTAACAATGAACTTAAGAATTAAACTAAGTAGATATATATACAAAAGCACTGTACTTTATTTAACTCCATACAAAAAATGTGGTCATTAAAAACATTAAATAGGTAAGAGTATTTTATTTTGAAGATCATGAAGTCAGTTTTCAAAGTGTAGCTATTATTACTTTGGTCACCTCAGGCATCTTACACTTAGAGCCCTCCCTTCCTCCTCTGTTACAAGCAGGTGCTATAAACAGCAACTTTCTGGCTTATGTCCTTCAGGAGTGAGCGGACTTCCCCTTCCAATCTCACTAGTTCTTGGGCTTTATCTTCTAAATATTTTTGATTGTCTTCGTATTTTCTTTCTAAATCTGGGAGATAAAATGAAAAAGTAAATCTGGGTAATTTGCCTACAAGGCCTTATTTAAATACCTGAGACATAGTGGATGCCTAAACTTTAAAATTAGTTTATGAAAACATGAGACTACGTAAAAACACCTACCTTTCAGCAGTTGCAGTTTACTGTTTGCTTGAGCCAAAAGTGTTTTTGCTTCATTTTGGAGCATTTCAGCTTTCCTTCTGGCATCAGCTGATTCTTCAGTCTTTTTGGCAATTATATTTTCTACTTCCTTATACTTTTCACCAAGTTCACCATCCAGAATCTGCAGTTCCATGTTAGACACAGAACAGTGATAATGTCAGTATGTGAGCACATGTCAGACTAGCAGTATATTGGTTGCAAGCTTGGATCACATACGTAACTAACTTGCATGGCAAGCATTCTGGATTAAGCCACCAAGGGTATCTGGGCTTCATCAAGTTACTCAAGGGCAGTAAACAGATAGTAGTTTGAATGCAAAATGGACACATTTTTACAAAAAAAAAAACCCATGAATTTTAGCAGCAAGACTTTAGGGTTACCCCAAGGTGGGTCACTATGAGTCAGAAACAACTCGAGGGCAGTTAGTTTTTTATAGAGAAGAACAGCACTGCTCTAAACCAGGCCTCCAAACTAGGTTAGTCATGGCTGACAGCAAAATCCTAACAGGCCTGAATTTCAAAATTTTGGGTGAATTGCAAAAATTACCGTCAGAACCCTGGAAGGGGAGACTCAGGTGCAGTGAGCCCTTTCAGGAGCCTGATGACTGAGACTGGATTATTGCCAGGACTGTGGAGAGCAACACTTTGAAGCAGTGAGGTTGCCACCATCTTTGAGCAGGGCACCGCTGTTTTCACGCCTGTCATTCAAGAGATTTGGTTGCTATGCAACATGCATGCTGCCCTTGTTTTCCAAGAGGCAGATTACGTTTCTATCAGGGCATCTACCCCAAATTTTTCTCATTGTGATTACTGTTTTGGTCCATTCACATTTTACAAATTCACATCCGTTCTGGTTTCGCTTTGTCTGCCATGACTGAACCAGGAAGAAACAATCTGAAGCAGATTTTCTCAAAAGTAGATATTCTGAGATCCAAACGTTTAGACACCAGAGGCCCTTTCTGAGGAAATGGAAGGGGGACTATCTGGAACTTAACTATTTAGGACTTGTGAAATCTTCACATAGAAATTAGGGTGAAAAAAGATTCAGGAAAAAGGCATATTCCAGAGCTGGGTGAAGAGAGGAGAAATTGGGTGTGGGTTGGAAAGATAGCTGCAGATGATTCTTCTGAGAAACACTGTTTAAACAACAGCCATAAGTATGGAAATTTCATTTCAAGGGACTTTGTTCCTTTTTGTTGAAAAAAATAATCACAGACATGCAAAATGCTCTGTAAGATGACTACTGGGGGAATTGACCTCAGCACTGCAGGAAGACTACAGACCACAATGGGAATGAAAATGGATCTGATACCATGACAACAAAATTGTCTTGTTCTCTTACCTCAGCCCAGAAGTGTAGGAAAGTTACCCTTATGTGATTCCTAAAAGCTGCGGTTTCAGACTCAATCTAGTTTTTCCGTAACTTCCAGGAAAAATCTTGAATAGTATGAATTATAAACTGAACTTGAGTCATTTAACCATTTCAACATCTCCCCTTCAATTTCTTTCTCTTAAATACTACTTTATTGTGTTTTTGGTAGAAGTTTACACAGTAAATTAGGTTCCCACTTGACTATCTCTATACAAACTGTTTTGTAACATTAGCTACGTTTGTCCAACATGTCCACATTTTCTGTGTTTAGCTTGTTTCGTTTCCGGTATTCCACTTTCTGTGCCCCTTGTTTCCTCATCTTGGCCTTAGCTGGTCTCATACGGATGGTTTTTTAGTAGAGGACTGTACTTACATACAATATCCTTTATTTTGTGTGCCACTATCATTTGCTACCTTCCGAGGAGTGGCTGGCGGTTCAAACCCACCAGCCACTCCTCGGAAGGAAGGTTGGGCAATCCTACTTCCGTAGTGATACTGCCTCGGAAACCCAAGGAGGGGTCGCTATGAGTTGGGGCCGACTCGACGGCACATAACAACAACAACAACAACATCATTTGCTAAAAGGTGATCTCAGTGATAGTCTCAGGGAGTCCTCTGGTCTCAACTGGTCTAGTTAGTTAGTCTGGCCTTTTGAAAGAATTTGAGTTTTGTTCTACATTTTTATCCCATTCCAATGAGGACTAGGAGCTCTGGTAACATAGTGCCTAAGGCACTTGACTGCTAACCAGAAGGCGGTTCAAACCCACCAGCCACTCTCCTTGGAAGAAAGGTTGGGCAACCTACTTCCGTAGTGATACCACCTCGGAAACCTATGAAGGGGTCCCTATGAGTTGGGTCCGACTCAACGGCACATAACAATGACAACAATGAGGACTATCTATTGTGACCCTGGTCAGAGGAGTTGGTAGTGGCAACTGGGCAACTTCCCTCCAAGTTTAAAAAAAGGTCTCTTTGGAGATGAACATCAGCCCACGCAAATTAAGAAAATGAATTTGTCTTTTAATGATTACTTTGCTTCTAGCTAGGAGCTCTGGTGGTGTAGTGGTTAAGGCATTTGGTTGCTAATGAAAATGTCAGTGGTTCAAACCTGCTAGCTGCTCTGTGGAAGAAAGATGGGCAGTCTGCTTCCAATAAAGATGTATGGCTTAGAAACCCAATGGGACTCACTATGAATAGGAACCGACTCGATGGCAGGGAGTTGCTTCTAGCGGGTGTGAAATTTTTCTTAACCTTCTAAAGAGAAGCACCAAAACTCAAACCTACTGCCACTGAGTCAATTCCGATTCATAGCAACCTCCATAGGGTTTCCGAGGCTGTAGATACTATGGAAGCAGACTGCCTGCCTCATCTTTCTCCTGTGGAGCAGCGGGTGGGTTCATTCTGCTGACCTTCTGGTTAGCAGCCAAATGCCTTACCATGGTGCCACCAGACAGAGCTCCTTAAAGAGAATTAAGGGAAGGTTAATTCAAAATGAGTCTGCCATGGGTCAGATCAGGTTCCTCGCCAGCTATCTTCTGTGGTGAACTCTTCACGTTCTTTCTACCCTGCTTTTGAAGTTTTATCTAACAGTCAGGTAACTATTAGATTCCATAAAGATCCTCCTAGTTGAAATACAACACAGAAATATAAGCTCAGTATGCTTGTCTGAAGATGTCTACCTCTTAGTTAAATTAATTTCATTCCTCTAAACCCTTCTCTAGTTTAAATTTGAGGGTAGGCCTTAGGTCATCTTATTGGACATGTGCATATTCATTTCTAGTCCTTTCCTTCTGTGTCTCTAAAGACTGCTACTTTCCTTTGAGATGTTTCTGATGAAGAACCTTCTTAGGTCCATCCACGTCCCGTATTAATTTCAAGGAAGGTAATGAGGAGACTAATTGCTCCTTTATCAACACAACTGTGAAGTTACAAAGATCTACTTACCTTCTTATTATCATCTGCGTTTTGTTTCACGGTATATACTACTTTTTCAATATATTCTGCCTCCCCAGAGTTTTGGGCAGCCTTGCGCTTAAGTTCTTCCACATTCCTCTCTAGCTCACTGATACGCTGTGAGGCGTTGTACAAGGTTTCCTCAGAAGCTGCGGTTTCAGACTCAATCTAATATGAAAATAAGATGTCATCCGTTCAGCAAGCCAGTGCAAGAAATGGTAGGAAGCATGACAAACGTTAAGTTTGAAAGTGGATTTAAAAGGCTGCTATGCCATTTTGTTCTAGACTCAAAGCATCACTAAAAAGAAAACAATTTCAAGAAAGTTTACATAAGAAGTGCCTAACTTTAAATAGTCTTTGCTACATCTCATATATTTACTTTATTCCTTGGTGTTTCTGATGGTCTAGGCTGAAATTCATGTAAAATTCTTCCTTGCTGGACAGCAAGAGCCCTCAGGCAGCTTAATGTGTTGAGAAACTTTTCACAGACATCTGCAAACTTTGGCTGAAGAATATTCACAAATAAGCAGATGTGAGAAGAGGGATTTCCACAAAAATGTCCAAATTGATGTGGGTGGGAACACAGGATTTATAACTTCCTGTCACCTTTTCAGTTTTTCCTATCAACTCTAAATGTTAAACTCCAGTAGTGGAGGTTACAGCACTTCAGGAACTACCCCGAAACTTAATGTGGTGTTACCAGCAAATTGCCTAAGGTCTGGGAAAGTTACAGCTGAACACTATACACGTGCAGTGTTCCTTAAGGAAAAAGGACTTTCTCAAATCTGGGCAACTGGTAAGGATCCACATGTGATCTGTTAAAAGAGGAATCAATAAACATTTATCTTAAAAAGCTAGCCAAAGTAAGCAGTCTGGCCCATGACAGGACAACCAATTTTCACTGGACACTCAATTTTTCTTGAAAATGATCTTACAAATGGATCTATTCCACAGAATTAACTGAATAACAATAGTTCCATAATTAAACTAATGGGTCAGTATAGACAAATGCTAATATATGCAAACATTTTAAAACAAACACCTCCTTAACCAATAACGTTCCCCCATATATTAACCTAGAAAAAAAAACTCTTAGAGAGTAGTTACAGTTTCTAGGAGATAAGCATTATGGTTTTATTTTTAAATGAGTGAACAGTTTCTGACAGGCTTCCATTGTATTATTTGATCAGAGGTTCTCTTCTGTTGTTATTAACCTAAACAGACTTCCTGCCCCTGACCCAGGTCCCTGGAAAACAAACCCATCACAAGACAAATAGCTCACCTATAATCTGATTAATATTTTTATATTTGCTTTTCCAAACAGCATAATTTTTTAAAAAAACTCATCATCAAAATAGGTAGAAGTTCACTAAAAAACAGTACATGGAGAAATGTGAAAAAACCTTGAGACAGAATAAAAATCTTAACAAAGGGTTAGAACATAAAAGTCTGGGGAAAAACTTTCTTTTTCTAAGACTGAACAAAAAGACTGAAGAAAGGTCCTATGTATGGTAAAAATTTAAGCAGTTAAAGTGACTGAGGCGTTACTGGCCTTTATTTCACTGAGCAGTAGAACAGAGGCAAGTTTGTATCAGCAAAAGATATGAAAAGCACATTACAAAACCATCTCTCAGGACTGAAACAGAAGGGTTTAGTCTGGCAAGACTGATGGCTGAGTACTGGGAGCATCCAGTTTCAAAGTGCACGTGGAGAACAAGGAAAGTGAATGGATGAGTGGCCAATTTTCTTCACCCATTTTTAAAAAACAAATTAACTGTCCCTAAAATTGGAAAAAAAAGATTTGTTTATAGAACTTGTTTTTGAAAACTGAAAGGACAGAATAGAATTTTGTTTGTATTACTTCTTTTAAGAGCTAAGAGGAGTTTCGGAATAAGGCACCAAAGCCGTGTTGAAAACTTTTCTCAGCGAATACCTTTACTATCTGGCTGTGGTGGTGGTTATTGCCGTCAGGTCAGCTCTAGCTCATAGCGAGCCTGTGTACAACAGGAGGAGACACTGCCCGGCCCTGCACCATCCTCAGTGGGCGTGAGCCGCCGGTGCAGCCACTCTGTCAGTCCATCTTGTTGAGCCTCTTACCTTTTCTCACTGATCCTCTACCAAGCATGATATCCTCCTTGAGGGACTGGTCTCTTGATGACATGACCAAAGTATGAAAGATAAGTGTGGCCAGTCTCACTTCTAAGGAGCACTGCAGCTGCACTTCTTCTAGAACAGATTTATTTGTTCTTGCAGTCTGTGGTATTTTTAATATTTTTCGCCAACACCACAATTCAGATACATCAGTTCTTCAGTCTTCCTTATTCATTGTCCAGCTTTTACATGCATGTGAGGCGATTACAAACACTATAGCTTGGGTCGGGCGCACCTGACAACTCTGCTTTTGAAATCTTTAATGAGGTCTCCTGCAGCAGATTTGCCCAGTGCAGTATGTCCTGTCCTTTGATCTCCTGACTGCCACTTCTGTGGCTGTGGATCCAGGTAAAATGAAATCCTCGACAACTTCAATCTTTTCCCCATTTACTGTGATGTTGCGTATTGGTCCACTTGTGAGCATTTTTGTTTATATTGAGCTGTAATCCATAATGAAAGCTATAGTTTTTGATCTTTTTCAGTAAGTGCTTCAAGTCTTACTCAATTTCAGCAAGCTAGGTTATGTCATCTTTGTATCTCAAGTTAATGAGTCTTCCTCCAATCCTGATGTTGCATTCTTCTTCATATAGTCCAGCTTCTCAGATTATTTACTCAGCATACAGACTAAGTATGGTGAAAGGATACAACCCTGTACACCTTTCCTGATTTTAAACCATGCAGTATCCCTTGTTCTGTTCGAATGACTGTCCCTTGGTCAATCCACAGGTTCCTCATGAGCACAATTAAGTATCCCCATTCTTCTCAATGTTATCTATAATTTGTTACTCATCCACAGTCAAATGCCTTTGCATAGTCAATAAAACACAAGTAAACATCTTTCTGGTATTCTTTGCTTTCAGCCAAGATCCACCTGACATCAGCCATGATATCCCTCATTTCACATCCTCTTCTGAACCTGGCTTGAATTTCTGGAAGTTCCCTGTCAATATACTGCTACGACCATTTTCACATTATTTTCAGCAAAATTTTACTTGTTTTCCATTGGAAAACATTTGTTTTCCATTACTGCTGAACAGATTGCTAAGCTCTATTTATAGGTTCTTCTAGAACTGGGCATAAGAAATAAGTAGACATTTTGACCTTCATTCTTTTCTAGTGGTTTTCAAAACTAGTGAAAATTTTTGTGTGATCACCTTATCAATTGAGATGCTGGTTAAATGGCGTGGGCTGCTTTTTCCTAAAACTGAAGTTTGAAATAAATACTTCATACTAATGAATAGAGTCATATGCAGTTTTCTGAAAGAATATGAATCAACATGTGTGTTTCCCTCTCTTAGGCTTTTTGTGGAGGAGAAAATGGAAGTCAGCTTAATGTTCCAATGTCTTCACAATTTTTTTCCCTTGACAACCTATCTCTGCTCATTTACAACATCTGTGTTGATGGAGTAGTTGAGATACATTTAAGTTAAAGGAATAGAATTTTTCTTCATAGATAACTGTCAAATGTACTTACTTTTTTGATAAATGCCTGTATGTGGGGGTTTTCGCCTATCAATAATGACTGTAAAATCTCACCGAAGTCAGCAGGTTCTGTGTTCCTTGAATGTCTTCATCTGCTTGCTTAATTGCCTTTTCTGCTGCTATCTGGGCCTTCTCTGCTTCTTCCAAAGCTTCCTTTACCATGTCTGCAGTGACTTTAACATCTGTTGCACTTTTGCTGAATGAAAAAATGAGAAAATATATATAAGTATGAAAAAGTACTTCATCTTAGTACAAAGAACATTTCTCTCAAAGAACCGTTGTTAGGTGCCTTTGAGTCGACTCTGACTACAGCAGCCCCATGTGCAACAGAACAAAACACTGCCTGGTCCTGCGCCGTCCTCACAATCCATGCTGTGCTCGAGCCTGCAAATGATCCAGAGAGAATCACACAGGTCTGTCTGAAAAACTTCAGTGGTAAAAGAAGTAAACCTACAGCAAGAAAAGCCTACAGTCACCAGAAGGAAGGAAATAATCAAGATTCGAGCAGAAATCAATGAAACAGAAAATAGAAGGGTTATAGAAAAAATCAACAAGACCAGAAGTTGGTTTTTTGAAAAGATCAATAAAATTGACAAACCACTGGCAAATTTAACAAAGGAAAAGAGGGAG